GTGGAAAACTGTATTATTTACACTTATAGGGTATTTTACTGTATTTTCCCCACACAAATATAATAATTCTGTAATGTACAGCAAAAATCAAATGACTTGCAACTCAATATTGTGCCTGAATGCCTCCTGTGTAGAGACACACAGAGTACCAGAGCTGCTGCATTGCTGGCATGTTGCTCACGCTTCACCATTGAGTTCTGTCTCATCACATAGTCACTCTGTCACATTTGTCATTACCAGCTGATATTTTTTTTTAATCCATTTGTTGTACCTGTATCCTTCTCTGCAGCACCAGATGCTCCAGGTAGAGACTCAGTGCCTGGCTGTCCTTTCCCAGGTAAGTGATGACATCCTCAGGGTTCAGTTCTGGCAGGTCTTTCCTTCCAGCAAAAAAAAAAAAAAAAGAAAGAAAGGCAAGGTTATTACCACTGTCGTTCTACCACTCCAAGAAAAATGTCAAAAGTAATGCAAAATAATCTGAAATGAAGGAGTAAGTTTGCAAAAGACACTCAACAACTTAGATTGTTTCAAGACACTGCACTGTGTAAGTCACCCATAAACTGAGTTACATGCCAGTATATCAAATAAGGGAAGTCAATAAGAACTCAGTACCTTCTTTTTTAATAGGAAACTGAAAAAAATATTTTGCAGGCACTGGAAAGTGACTGATGACATCCCTCTGTAATTCAACCTAGTTGACCAGAACTAATACTTTGGCATCAGAGTTACATTTGTAGAAACCTGCAGTGGGATCTTTCCACAAGGCCCAGTCTGCATACTTTCATTCAAGGTCTAGATTGGAGGAGGAGCAGAGAAAGTCCACAATGTACTCATAAAGATCAGATCTTGTGGAATCCTGCAGATCCCCATCTACCACATGAATCCACAACTGCCAGAAAAAAAAGAGGGAAAATGTTTTATTTCTTAGTGTTACATTGATGCAGATTCCTCCATGAGAATCAATAATGGACAACATTTAGATATACATACCTGAAGCGCTGCTGAATCCTGACCATGATAATGATAGAGCAGTCCAAGTGCTAAATATCTGCAGAGACAGAAAAAGGTAGAATGAAGCTGAACCTCTCCGTCAAGATGTCTTTGAACAGAGTAATTAAATTGGCTCAACTAAAGTGGACACAGTATTAAAGCTTTACCAGGGTGTTAATTAACAGTGTGGGGCAAGGAAAAGTATTTACCCAACAAAGCCCCATCTCAGTCTGTCCCTCAAGGAATTTGTGAAATTTGGAGCTTTAATAATTAATGAAAACTATACTGATTCCCACAGTGATCCCACAGTGGTGTTTTTGCTAATTAACACAGTTTCCAACATTATTTATAAACAGTTTCAAGTGTTTCAGATTAAGGTGCATGCTCAGTTAATGAAGATCCAACAGAAGTGGCGCCTCTTGAGATAATAAAACATCAAGAATGCGTAGAGTTCAACAGTGCCGTGTCCACGTCCTCCCTGCAGCCATTCGCCACCTCTGTGCTTCGTACCTGCATGTACAAAGGAAGACAAACACAGTCAGATACATACTATACAGTACTACAAAAACAGAAATACAAAAGTGTATTATTGCAAAATCATGTGTAAATCAGATTTTAATCAAGTTACCTCTCCTAAATAACTAATAGGGAATTTCTTGCATCGCAGCACTTTCTCCTGGTCACCCTGTGCCAGATGGTTGAGATCTGCAAACTCATGCAGAGGAGGGTGGCAGTGTGTGAATGAGGAGGAAGCTGGCAGCAGCAACGGGTAAAGAGATATCAACTCTCGCACATCCAGCTGACCCTTCCTGAAAAATATATCAGTGAGGTCATAAAAACTGCTAATGCATGAGGCAATAAGAACTAAAGGTCAAGAATTTAGTGCAGTCAGTGAGTACTGACCATAGCTTATAATTTACCTTTAAACAGCACTGGAAATATAAGCTCCTTGGTGGAAGCATTAACAAAATTATGAAGCTTTCCAGGGATCACAAGTATTAGCAACTAAAATGTTCCCACGAAAATAAGGACTACTTATGGGGCAGATACTTTTGGATTGGACAGATGACCTGATCAAGTTCATGTTTACTGTTCCATACGTAAACATTTATTCCAACAGTGATTTGATTTAAATTCAACAACCACAGCTTGATGTGTACTGGAATGTGTAGGTTAAAAAAATGAAAAAAGAAAAAAGTCTGTAATACTAATTGAGTGTAAACATCTACAATATGTAATATCTTCAATATTTATCATTTGATGAAGCTTTATGAACGACATGGGTTTTCTAGGAAATCATTGGGTCTGAATGGTTCTTGCCATACTTAAGCAACAGACAGGTCAACCACATGATGCTGACCTCAGTCAGTTACCGTAGTAACAGACTCTATGAACCTAATCTGGTCAGGACCAGGTTTTTCTCAATGAACATCGAGTTTCTCTCTGTCTCCACCCTCTTTCAGCCACACACGTTATTTGATTTCCTCATTCATTCATTCATTCGGTCAACAGGCGAGTTTTGGCGTAGCCTAGTTCTGCTGTCTGTCAAAAATCATTTTAAAAAGTCAGAGTCAGTAGGCTATATTGGAAGTCCACGAGGCACAGTAGGTGGCAACTTTTTCCACTAACATGGCATGTCCTTTTAATAACGATCCCGTGGATGAAGGTTCAGCATTACTGTGCAGAGAATTAAATGTCGGGAGATGGTTATCAGACCACGCATAGCTGTAGATTCTAGCATTTCCAGACACTTATCTTTTTGAGCGGTACCGTTTCATGTCACAATCCATCATCTACATACAACCTAATCGTCCTTACATGTGCAACATTACCAAGCATAGTAAGGCTCTCACATCCCAGCAGATATTGTGTGTTGCTCTGCATTTCTTTGCAAATGGAAGTTTTTTGTAAAATGTCGGAGATGGAGAGCACTTGAGGAGGGTTACTGCATGCAGGGTGGTCAGAGAAGTGTGCCTCACCCTGAAATGGCTTTTACCATCTTTGTCATTTTCCCTGGACATAAACCTGTCAGAGCCATCAAGGAGGAGTTCCACAAGATTGCAGGTGAATGATGTAGAGATCTGTTCAATTAATTTTAAATTGTATTCTGTTAATGACATTGTGCTGCAACCTGAGACTTGAACAATGTTTTTATATTTCATCTTAAGCTGCTACCGAGTTCACTTCTCCCCTGTGGGATTGCACCTAAATGAAATAAATTAATAGGCTACCATTAAAGCATTTCTCCTGTACCATTATTGTGATTGCAAAGGACAACATTTCAACTTACACATTCACCCGAGCAGCAGTGTTGCACTTCTTTCAAACTCGCCATATGAGCGCATTAAGATTTCCAATTCTAGTGGGATGAAAAATTCAGCCCTCCGCTTCCCCATTGCCATGGTGACTTGTCAAAACGGGGCTCCATTGATGCTGGCTTTTTATAGTTGTGGTGCACTTAACTCCTGGTGAAACTACAAAAATGTTCTTGTATACCAAAGGGGGTCCCAGCAGAGAAAGTTTGGGAACCACTGGCTTAAGCCAATGAGGTGATATGGGACATCGAGCTAAGATCGTCTGGACATGTTGAAGAGCGAGAGAGCGAGAGAAGAGGAAGTGAAAGTCTACACTCGACACCGACTACCTCTGAGTGAGTTAGCTGCACCACAGCAATACACTTCAGCAGTGTCCAGGCGTCAGTGGACAAATACCTTCACAGTCAGAGGAAAGTTGTTTCTGTCGTAGTTCCTAACTATGACCACTGGAGGGCAGTGAACCTTCATCACAATTGTCTACAGGTTTGAACAAGACACAACAACACTGTTGAATAAATACAAATATTAAAAAACACAATGGTGTTTTCTGCACCTCTACTTGTGGCATTGCATGACAATGTATTCACTGTTTATGATGCAGAAAGATTTGATGAACATCAACATGACTATTAATGTGATATATTATTTCATATATCAGCCCCATCCCAAAGCCATCCACATCAACGGGATGGCTGTTGATCGTGTCTCCAGCTTCAAGTTCATGGGGATCCACATCTCGGAGGACCTGTGCTGGACCAACAACACCTCCAGCCTGGTTAAGAAGGCTCACCAGCGCCTCCCCTTCCTGAGGACACTAAGGAGAAACCACGTGTCCATAGCAATCCTGGTGAACTTCTACCGTTGTACAATAGAGGGCACCTTCACCAGCTGCATCACTGTCTGGTACAGGAACTGCTCTCTCGCTGACTGCAGGGCTGTGCAACGGGTTGTAAAAACTGCCCAGTGCATCACAAGGGCTCCACTCACAGCCATTGAGGGAATCTATGGGAAACGCTGCCTGCATCGAGCTCGCAGCATCCTCAAAGACTCCTCTCACCCCAACCATAGACTGCTCAACCCTGAACAGCCCTCCAGAAAGCGATTCAGGAGCCTCCTTACTAAGACCACCAGACTCAGGAACAGCTTTTATGTTACCTTTTTGAACTCTGTCTCCCGTTAAGCCCCCCCAACCTCCTCCTCCCTTCACACTCCGCTCCCCTCCTCATCAACCAAAACAATCATCAAGCCAACATGTATCCAATATTTGCACTAATTATACATTGCGCTGTAATTACTGTTTACTACTGATTATGCACCTTTTAATGTCCACTGCACTGTTTTATTATCAATTGCACTGTCAATTTCCATTGCACATATCCATTTGTAAATATACATCATGCCATCTTCTCATGTAAAGACCATAGCATATATTTGTTTATGTATATAAATATATTTGGGATTTTTTTAACAATATATCTGCACTTTATACTCTGCACTATTGCACTTCTGGTTAGATGCTAACTGCATTTCGTTTTCTTTGTACTTGTACATGTGTAGTGACAGAGTTCAATCTAATCTAATCTAATTGTGTTTGTCCTTCTTGTTACTGTTATTAACAGCAAGTACTGCTATTATATTTCTATGATTCAGTATATGTTACAGAAAATGCGATTTTTAAAAATAATGACAAAACCACAAGTTCCATCACAATTTATTCAAACAAGATAAGATAAAGATGTTTCATCAGTAATCATCATTTCACCTGATTTGCTCTGTGTTGACATCATCGATCACACAAACAATTTTTAAAATAATCACAATCATATTTCAGCAGTTTTCTGCATTGTACACAGTTTATATATAAATAATAAGATCACGTTTCTCCCCTTGATAAAATGATAAAGAGAACACTTGCAATATCTTAAACTGACTGTAACTCTGTTGTTTCTGTACTGATAAGAGTAAATGAGTCCTGCACTGAGGCCGTCTGACAGATCAACTATAAATGAATGTTGATTAAATTGTGCAGGAAGATTATGATTAGGATACTGTATTTATCTATTTACAATCTAATGCTGTCTCCTTTACAGAAATCAAGAAGTCAGAGGCCCTTTAGCATTCACTTTACAATATCACACTGATGTCTCCAAACCCAGAGCCTTTTCAAACACCCTCTGTGCATCCTCAGCAAGTGAGTTGAGAATAAAACTTAGAGTTCTGTAGGTTGCAGTAAAAGAGAGGGCCATTGCTACTGGGATTCCTAACATCGGAATGAATCTGGACCCTTCTTCTGCTGCCATCAAAACACCTGTGACTGTCATTTGGGATATCACCTTCAGAACGGCATCTTCATCTAATTTTGCTGAAACCAGTGGGGATTTGATAACACCATGCAGATTCTCATATGGCACACCTGTGCTGTCAGCAAGTCTCTGCAGTGACGGTTTATCAAGTCCAAACCCAGATAGATAATTACTGATAACAGTAACCATCATGCTTAGATCAACAGTAGCAGAAAGTACAGGAACTGGCACACCTGCCACTAATGCAGACAGACCAGCGCAATATTTTATTTGGGCCTGAAAAGCTTCTTTCTTCTTGCTGATGATCTCACGGTTGAAGTTGGGCATGGCAAACAGTAGAGCATTCCTCTTGTGTGTTGGAAGTTCTCTCTCTAAGGTCTCATGGAGGAGAGAGAAATCATACAGGTGGAGGTCAAAGCTGGACACCAGGAAGACCTGTGGAGCCTCAATACCTTGTT